AATAAATAATATATAAATATAAATATATATATATATACATATATATATATACGACGTCGGAAGCAATGGGTAACTAAGCAACGAATGCCTTAGGACAACCTCCCTCACGCCAAACCAAGCGAAACTGCATATCCTAAGAGCACCAGATCCCGAATAAGATAAAGAAAGGAATACAGCACAACCGCCGTTTTTAGCCTATGGACAAACCATACCGCCCCAAAACTAGTTCGAATTTATTATTCATCTTAGGTGCGTTCAGCAGCCATGTCATGCGCACACATGACAGAGGTAGCGGAAACAGCTGGTCACATCTCTCCATTCTCTCTCACTTGCCTTTTCTCCCGTTCCTCTCATCCCATGAGCAGTTGTACTTGTGGATCCATTTGTCAGGCTGCAATATCTACAAGGCTCCTCACTCCCACAGCTCCGGGCAGATCAAGCTACTCTTACTATTCTGCCGGGCTTGGTCGACCCGATAAGCACTTTGTATCAGTGAATAAGGATGTAGGCTGATTGGTCCAGCCTGAAACGGAGGTTCACACCCGCTTGTTTTGCCTGAGCTAGCAAAATCGTCACTACACCTGTCGCGATCGGATAAGGCGCTAAGGAGCCTCGCCAAACTTCGAACCCAGATATCGTGAGCGCAACCACACTCGTCTGCCACATGGAACTGAGGACATAAGCCTTCTAGTTACAGTGCGGACGACAGATAAATCGAACAAACTATAGCTGGATACCCAGATTATGAAACGAAAACACAACCGCGGCCGGTCGCGTGTTATGTCCAGTACGGTTCCCAACAGGATCACGTGGAGGGCGCGAAGTTACCAGCATGCATTGACATTAGCCCCCCTTGCCAACGAGCCACTACCCCATGCAAAACTTTTGCCGGCAAATGACCGGGACGAGATGCATTTACGACCCCCCCCCCCAATAAAGCATCAACTCGCTGCAGCCGTACAACCATTCACATGCTGCGGAGATACTAGCGTACCGATACCTCAGCATTATCCAGTTTCTCAGGTGAGGGGGATGTCTGAACCCCACAAAAAGTCCGCTCTTGCAGCTCTTCGCATACCAGCCCGTGAAATTCGGTTCTCATGCCATAACCCAGCCAAACCAGCACAGTAGCACCACCCGCGACCGTATAACCAAGGCGCATTCATATGCCAGGAAACGAAGCTACAGCTCCTAAGAGAAGCACGCAGGAGTGAAATCTGGGGACGCGAAACGCAGGCTGAAACCAGATGAGCCCCTAGTCGATGGACTATGCGCGGACCAGTAACTAGGTTGCTTGAGCCGTACTGATACTTGGAAGCACTTCAACGTTGAACAGCACACATTGGACGGATCAGAATACTGTGCAACGAACCCGAAGTCCAGAGAGTAAAAAGGCAAGTGTACGAAAAACCCGATTTATTCACGCTTATTTTCCGTCGCCATCATGTGGTACTGTCCTGATGATATCAGAGTCCCCTGCAAGAGAAAGATAGTGGCAAGACCAAGTATGACATACCCGGATCCTCGATAGCCAGAGTGCTCACTCGAAAGTACTTCCCACATGCGGTCCCTAGATCGCGATTGGACCCATTGTAGTGATGCACTCCAGTCTTGGACAACATTGCGTAATATTCAATCTCCGTTTTCCTGAAGCAAACGTTGGCTAGTTGAATTGTGGGAAAACGGGGGCGAAAATAAACCTAGCTAGGAAGGCTTTCAAATGAGAAAATCATCCCAGCCAAGCGGCTCCGATTTTCTTAAATACTTACCTAAGAGGTGGGGCATTGTTGGATATAATTATCAGCCGAGCGCCTCCTCGACGCAAGAGCCTTAGGGTCTGACGTAATCCAATGGCACATTTCCCACTCTTCATCACGAGCGCCAGCCGACTATTGATGGATTCCAAGGCTTTCTAAGGCGACTAGACCAAGTGTTATTCAACCTACCGATTTCTTCCCAGCTCCCGCGCTCTCCGCCTTCTTTCCAGGGTTGACAACCATTCCTCAACGAATTACTCGAGGGAGCGTGGCGCGTCCTAACAGGGGCAGTGAGTAAAACAAAACGTTACCTAAATCAACAGACGTGGCTGCTTTAGGCTTTCGGGAGCTCACGCTGAAAACCAATTATTATCGAGTTTGTTGCACGCACCGGTCAAAAAGCACTTCACAATCTTACATATTGTGATATTTATGTTTAGTGACTGCGTGGTTCTTTTGAAAATGACGTATGGTTTATTTATCATCCTCTTTTGAAAATGACGTATGGTTATTTATTATCCGTTTCACCGACCCTTATCTGGTTCCGCAATTTGCTCCAAAAACGTTAAGTGTCATAAGAAGAAAGTTTCGTTTTAATATTTTTTCGTATGTTGTTTTATGCTACTCAGGTGAAACCCGTAAGTTGAATGCATTGGCCAATAACAAATACAAAAGTCAGCATCAGTTGTCCAGCAGGGTTTTGTCCAAAAAGACACGCAAACCACGTTTCGTTCGCTTCTCCTAATCTTGAGCACAACCATACGTTGACCAGCTTTCGTGCTACCTGTCACCTGTAAGTCGTTAGCTAACCGAAGAGGCATTTGGCACCTGCGGTCGCTTCCTAAATTTTGAAAAGTGTGGTAGTTTTTAGCCAATGAATTCTCTAGTTTCCTACCACCCAGGACAAATAAATCGCCTAAGTTAGTGTCTGGCGGTTCTCTTGGGAGCACGACGGATAGTCGGGTTCCATTGTGACAGGCGATATGCCCCGAGTATGACTAAGCCTCGCGCATCCCGACGGGCGCTTGTGTTGCAGATCACTGATGGTATTCGGTCATGCAGGCCCCCGTTAGAAACGAGCACTTTACTGCTATTTGTAAACTGTTAGGCATACACAGAAGGTGATGGGTAAGAAGCATTCAGTGAGAACTTTGGTTTGGACATATTAGCCGCCGGAATCGTGGTTGGCCGTGAAGTTCTGCTGTTCTGACTCCAGTCCCGCAGAGCAATCAGAAAGCATTACGTGTCATATAGCATCCGTGCATGCTTGTCATAGACAATCTTCGGACAGCCGAGACAATGCTTCATACATGTCTTGCTTCATCGTTTTATCATTACAAGTATCCGCCAAGACTTAAAAGTGCTATGCCACACGGACGCAACATGTGTCCCTGCCTCTCGGCTCATTGACTGTATATCACCGTGGGCTCTGTATGCGCAATCCGGGATTGACAAATTTAGAAATGTGATCGCCGCCGTTCAGACAATGCCAACGGCGCACCACCAAAACTGTATCGCCCATGTCAGCGTGGTTATCAACTCCGGCACCATAACATACATACGTACCATTGCAACCGAAGTGGAATCGTCGAAGGCAGCGTATGTTCTGTCAGAACGCAGTCGAATGTTGTAATATCTATTTTCAGCTCCTTTTTCGAGCTGCTATGGCATTCCGAGCTTTCAGCGGTCGTTCCCCGTGCTAATGGTTTGGATCAACAGTCAAAGACAATAGCATTGGCAACTGCAAAATGCTTCAGAAACAATTTTTGGCTGAAGAATTCCCACCTTGGGTTAACTCGCTATTAATCGTTGCAAGCTACGTGTTTCGCTTTTCCAACAGCCTGACGTCTATTCACATCAAGTTAACCCCCGGACGGTAAACCAGTAGGACCAATCGAAATACGGAATCTTATTGGAAATTGGACGAAGCACTTGAAACTGAGTTCTGTTCGTGGTGTTCGATGGGGTGGCCCTTGATCTGGTCCGTGATCGCCAGACCCGCCTTGAAAGCACTTCGCCGCGAATCCAGTCGACCTCATGAGTATGCGCAACATCGACACCACCTCGATAGTGGTGAAATGCTTACAAGCCGATTACACCGCTGAGCGTACATATCAATGACCTCTTTATCAACGACCAAGGAATGTGTGATTCATTTGCGGCTTTTCGCACATACACAGATAAATACCGGTCAACCAGGGGGCGCACAATATTGCGCATCGACTCTTACCATGTCATGACAGTCAAGTAAACGTCATCTACAGACAACTCTAATATCACTTAACCGACGTTCGGTGTCACGTACTACTACACTCTATCCTCACTGTGCAAGTTCAGAGGTTTGCGCGCACTTTGGCTCAGCGTACCAAGGTAACCACTGGGTCAAAAAACATCACGCTCCGTATATTGAGGAGTATGCATAAACTTCAAGTTTATTTGACGCGATTTCCGGTCTCAACTGATGCGACTATTATTGTGCCTCAGTGAACCGGTCAGCCTAATTTGTTAGAGGGAAGTTGGCATCCACGAAGCCTATTCTAACGATTCATTTAATGCGTGTGGTCCTGAAAAACATGATTTTTTAACCGTCAATTTCAGGAGAACAACGAAAAATGTAACTCCGCATTCCTTCAGCCCTGCGCAAACCAATGCTGTCCTGCAGTTGAGCCTTTGAACTTTCATTGGCGACCCTAATCACCCACGCTTTCAGGAAGGAGCACGTTCCAAGCGCTCAAACACACCCACAGCATTTAACGCCATATCACATCAGCCATCGCGCATGGACATTGGCCAGATCTTCGTATCCTTTGGATGGATAAGGACGGGTAATCGAAAACGTAAGACGCCAGACGTCCCTTTTGGATCCTCTTGACTCACATCCATTCGTTCACATTGCGTTCAAACATTTTGGGTCTAAAAATCACTCAGTTGTCAAGAGGTGTTGCATTTTATCGCGTATATTGTGTCAAGACTTGTGTTGCTCTTTTACAACTCGCGTATGAGATCCAGTTGCCGTGGTTGAGCCTAATGCAAGGCAATTTTTCGCCTGCCGCATTGTTTGGCTCTGAAGGTATCGAATGAAGAAGTGTCTATGTTTATGTGAATGCCAATTTTCAGGCAGCGGCCTTTATGTCCGCGTAGATTCACGCGAACTGTTTGATCTCGACTGTCACGATGTCGAGTCTTTACAATAAATAATGCTTTTTGATGCACTGGGTACCGCTTATTTATGGTTCCCACCATTAATATCTACTTTCTTTTCGGCAAACGGGCGAACAACACTCTTCCCCATCCCGACACGTTCCCAGTTGCAACCGAAGCGCTACGCAAAAGCACAATCCGCCACGCAGTATTTCGATTTCACGCACTCGATTTTCACTACACGGCCAATGTTTATCAAAGCAAACTTTTGACCCGATACAAGAGCTCATAGTGCAAGAGATAGAGCTTAGTAACTAAGTCCTGGAGGAAGTTTAAGAGCGATATTTACCTCTGTTTCACTGTTCTTTTGTACTTCAGATTTTATTTTGTTCCAGTTGTTAGATCAGGAACATATACGATCGAGAAGGTATTTTATTATGATAACGTGTGTCACGGTTTGAACTTGGAAGTTTAGTGAAAATGGGATGTTCCATTAAACACAGTTAAATGATTAGATGTCCTTGGTTTACTAATCAATTCTAAATGTGAGCTCTCAAATTTCCATCCATTCCCCCACAGTCTCTTACACGCTTTAACCGCGAAAAATGATGTCTCATGGAAAAGCGGCATAACCAACAAGTCGAATTCATAGGAGGAGATGGGTATGAGGCTTTCAGAAATGGCTATATATATGTTCGGATTCAGCGCTTCAGCGCAGTGGTAATAACATTCGCCTCATAAAAGGAACTGCTCACAAGGTTATTGAAAACTCCTTGATACCCGAGGCAAGGTTCGCTGTTCCTAAGGGCCCGTCAGCTGAGCGCAGCCCCCGAGGTTCCGTCAACCATAAGTTCCACTAGAACATTAATTGGACTGACGGCAAAAATGCATTCGCTATGAAATCAATTTAATTTTTCACTGAAGACAGGAGTGAATCTTTCGTTTATGATATTCTCTAGCTGAATATGCTGCGCAGAGGCCGTCTCACGCTTCATTTGGTACCATATCTGAGATATCGCAGTATCTTTACATAAAGGAAACTACCTGCAAGGTTGCTGATAACTCCTCGATAGCCCGAGACCAATTTCGTCCTTCTTGGGAACATCACATATGTGTCATCTGTTGAAAATTGAAATTCCCCACTTTTATTCTGTCCCTATTTGTAACCCTACCCCATTTTTGTGTTTAGCGTGTGTATATGAACCGACGCTTGTTTATCCTTACAACTTCACTTATTTGGTCTTGAGGTCATCCGGCCATTTGTAGCCGACTTTGTGCACGTGTGACCGTCGCGAGCGGGAGATTGTTTACTTCCTTGTTTTTCTTAATTTTGTGGTCCAAGTGGACCATTTGTTTCGGGCGAGTATCTACTGTCGAGATTTGTATAACTTGAGAATTTGTCTCACACTATTAGTACTGTATAGAAACACAGCTCCGGCTTTGTTTCGCCTTCCCGGAGGTTCTGATACTACGCGTCACTGGAAGATACAGTTCGTTCGTTAAAAGCTGAACGTCGTCCTCGAGTTACTGACGGCCTGATGCTCCGATTGATCTCAAGTTATGAGTGGTTCCTTTATGTGAATATACTGAGACATCTCAAATATTAACCGAGTAAAACATGAGACGGCCGTTGTGCTGCACATTCAGTTGAGAAACGTCATAAACGACAGGTCCACTTGGATCTCCTATGGAAACCACATTGATTAGCAAATAAGTATATTTGCCGCAGAAATAGCCCCACTTCTTAATACTCAAGGAGCATATCAACTAAGGCGCAGTCGGCCTACTTTGACGTCAAAATCTTTATGAAGTGTTTCTCGAATACAACATTCAACTGAAATTGCCTTTTACTCCTTGTGGCAAGTCCACCCGTGGTTGCTGATCCTGTGAAAGTACAAGGCTTTGTGTTCCCGGTTGGCACGCAGGAAGTACTCCAATTTATCAAACGGTGCCCTTTTAGGCAACAGTGCTTGGGAAATATCAGGTTTTCAGCAGCAGCACAGCTTCAATATATTGATAGGCAACATTTTCAAACGGGCCTCGAAGTATTCATGCATCAGTCTTGAAAAACTAAAGGAATCACGTATTTAAAATGTTGGTGA